CAAATTCCCTTTGGCGTAAGACAGAAATAAATAAAAGAATATAATTAAATCTATTATTTGTTCTCAACATGTGAATCAAGATAATGCTTTTATCAAGTAAGGAGATAACCCAGGAACCCCAAGAAGGAATGAGGAGCAGGCAGAGTTCAGCAGGATTTGGGGACCTAGATGAAGTTCTAGCTCCTTTTGCTATTGATGAATTCTCATTACCAATTCTTAAAACAATAACCACTAGGAATACAGCAATGTGAAAAATTCTCATGATAAAATGCTATTTTAAAACTTTTATCTTAACTACAATTATGCACACAATATACACACATACACACACAATTATTTTTTTCCTAGAGGCCAAATATAACCAAATCTTAATAGTGGTGCTATAATAGAATTATGTAGTATTTTCCTTTATTTTTTCACATAAATTCTATAACATGATTATATTATTTTTATCATTAAAAATTTTTTTAAAGTAAACAAAAAAGGCATTTTTTAGATCTGATTCATTCATATATCCCAAAGGTTCCTTGGAAGAGAAATGACAATCCTCTGTAGTCCATTTTCCCTAATGTCCAGTGTTTTACAAAAAATTCTTTTGAAAAAATCTTCCCAATTATTCATGCCATTCCCACTGTTCATACTGCTCCTATTTATTTATAATTCTAAAAAACCAAGCAATAAATTGTTTATGACTATGGCCTCACTGATCTCATTGGTTTAGATTATCGGCACAGAGAATTCTAAATCAAAGCAGTAACTGTACTACATTGCACACTATCAAAGTTAAATATTAAACATCAGTCAGAGTTGGAATTTGTATAATCAAAACCTTCCGATGGGCTTCAAATATTTCACAGAAATGATCCCATTAATCTTGAACACATATTTATTTTGTCCAAACAAATCTTCCTCAGAAGGTAATAAAATAATTCTTAGTAGTTCACTATACTTTCCTCAAATATGTTATCCATCATGCTCAAGAAATCATGTATTCTTGTTAAGAATATGTTCAACACAGTAGAGTGTATGCCACATGTTAACTGTTACATGATCCTTTACAAGTTTCTTAACTGGACCTAAATAACAACCCCTGAACCTAAATAACAGAAATAATAGTATCTTTCAAGGTAACCCTAGAGGTAGCAAAATATAAAACATTATGTAAATAGCAGCAATGATTCTTCTAGGAATTAGGGAAAACATTAGAAAAATAATTTAGCAATATCAGTATAAACTGGTTTATGTGTTGTTTTCTGAAGACCTTGAGAATAAGAGCCATACTATTTTCAATTTTATTATACTTCATCAAAATTATCTACTATGGTGCCTTTACTTGGGGGTATTGCACTATTATGAAACTGAAAAATGGAAGTTATATAGCTGCTTAGCACCTCAGTATTAGTAAACTAAATAATAAAATAAAATAATTAGAACTTGATATTCAATTGTGAGTCAGTGAAGTAGCCACTAACAAGATAGGCAGGACAAGTTATTTTCCAACATTCTAGAGAGAAGATAAAGTGACACACTCAAAACTTAAAAATATTTGAATGAATACCCACTGTTTCCCCACCATCCATCTGTAATAACTTCATTTATCTTTAAGCAAAATGTATTTCAGCCTAGCTTTTGATTGTATCTTTAAATGAAAACCAGTATTACAATTTCAACCTATCAGAGACATAAGGCAAATTTTCGTTAAATATATGTAACACTTCCAATCATCCAATTACATAAAAAAGGCAAAGAATGGAATCAATTACATAAAAGGGAATACAAAGAGCTCAAATATTGAGAAGCATAATGATAATACCATCACTATGCTAGTACAACTTTTTAAGTATTTAGTATGAGCCACTTGAGCTATACGAATACTAACTCATTTAATTATCAGTTTGTAGAAGTAGATATCATTATCACCTGCATTTTATAAATGAAAAAAGTTTAGACAAGTCACACAGACAGTAAATAATTGAGCTAAGATTCAACCCTTAGCAAACTGGTTCCAGAGCTAGTGCTCCTAAGCACTGTTATCCTGCCTCCTGACCTCACTCATATAATGTAAATTAAAACTATAATGAAATACCATGATCTCCAAGGTACAGAACAGTAACAATAAGTACTTTTTAAAAAATACAGGCTATATGTTATTCTACATGCACTGACTGCCCCTGGAAGGATACAGAATAAATTGGTTACCTCTGGGAAAGGCCATTAAGTGCCTAGGGAAAAGAGGTCGGAAGATTTATTTTTCACTCCTTTGTGACTTTCTGAAATAAAAATAATAATACTTTGCAGGTTCCTGTTTATAGCCCTTCAACCATTTCATACTTTCACATAATTAATATTTTTGTTTCCTCAACCACCCTGCGGAGCAAAGTGAGTATAGCGTTAACAAATGTTATCACAGCCACCACTGTGAAGGTATGTCACGCCACTTTAAAAAAAAAAAAAGACAAGACAAAAACTTTTTAACTTCAGTTCTTAAATGCTACTGAGTTGAAAACCTGTTGTAAAATGGAAATATTGGAAATACACTAATAATACAAAAATTTTTTTAAATCACTGCTCTCTCACCAGAATTCATTAGTTTCCAAAGTTGATCTACCAAGGCTTCATTGCATAAGGGAGACTCCATGTTCTTAGTAAATGGTGGGTTCTTAGTCAACATGTTTAGAATCTTATGCCTGAAAGATTAAAAAAACAATTAAATTGTTGCTGATCCTTTGCTGACTGACGCTATGAGTAGGAGATGCCGTAAAATATTTAGAAATTATCTGTAATTCTTCCTTCCTAGTCTAGTTTTATGTTTAGCTTAGCTTTATTTCAAAAGATACCATACTACATCCTGAATATTTACTACTTGTTTTTTCACTAAAAAATCCTGATGGATTTGCTTGTTCTAAAATCATTTTACTGTGCAATGAAATCTTCTAAAACCTGACTCAATCTTTCCCACCCCATTTTCTAAAATGAACATTCCACTCTGCTATCTTAAAATGGAACAACAACAACAAAAAAAACCAAATCACATGTAGGCCAAGAAGTCTACATTTGAGATAATAAAATGAATGCAAACTTTATTGTTATAGTATCTTTGTAAAGCATGGAAGTGTACAGAAGCATTTGAAATACAGAGATTGCAAAAAGGCTTCCTCAGAATAAGCTGAGGTTGAGAAGAGTTGATTAAGAAAAGTATTGTTATAGAGGGTAACCGTTAAACTCTACTACAGGGAGTTGTCTCATGAGAGAGTAGCTGAATACATTACGGAGTCTTCCGAAAAATAGGGCAATGTTTTAAAACCAAAATCTGAAAAATAAAACATCTGATGCTATAAGTAGAAGACATCATAAAAAGAGGATAGAGAAAGGAAAGAAGAAAGGGATAGCAGTACTCTAGCATTTAGTGAAGGATAAAAAAGCCAGCTCTAAGTTTGAGAAATTCAAAACTCATGAGTAATTGGAATATTGGATATAGAAAGAAAGAAACTAAGTTGTAACTCTTATGGAGGTTAGCAAAACTTTAAAAAAAGTGAATTGGAGAAATTTTTATACTTGTTGGCAGTAAAACATCAAATTGGATTTGTAACTGAGAAGGAGAAGGGAGGAAAGTGGAACTGCTAGACTGTAGTACAAATCATTTAACCCCTTTTGGCTGCAATCTGTAAACTAAAAGATGTGAATTCTGTTAACGTCCTTTAGTGTTCTGAAATTTAAGACTGTGTGAAATAAGTTTAGGTGATAAAAGAAAGGCTTTTACAAGGAAATGTACATAAATAACTACAGATTCAAAACAATACTAAAAAGAGATAAGAGAAGACAGAATCCTCTGCTTAATTTTTCAGAGGTTAAATATAAAAATTCACAATAAGCACATGCTTCGGACATCTGGAACAGACCTTAAGCAAATCTTGAGAAAGTACAGGTTCATGACATGTCCATAACAATGTATTTCCTTGCAAAATTGAGAATATTTTTTTAAGTATAAACTATGTGTTAGATGATACTAGGTTAAACCCAAGAGGTTCTCTAATGGTGATATAAATGAACCACATCAATTAAGAAGAAAATATGCTAAAAATAATCATAAAATAAATCTTTAAATAGATTTCAGTACAGATTGTAAATAACAGTGTTCTGAAATTAGAATGAACCTTAACAGTTTCAAAATAGTATTAAGAAACAATTATTTAGATT